ACGTATAGAGCAATCTCACAGATTTTTTCAAGTCTTACGGATATTTTAAAAACCTCATTTTCAAATTTATCTAACATGTCAGAGTCTATAGGATAATTAAAAAAAAACAATAAATAACATCAAACAGCCATCTTCCAACCTGTTCTGCTGCTAGAAATAAGTTACTTTTTCCTCTCTCCTTCCCTCCTGCTTCGCAGCTGACCTCCCCGCGGGTGCGAGTTGTAAGGATTTTCTGCAAAATTTATGGATTTTTAGGGCTCTTTATACAGGTAAACTACTTTTATTCCTGATTTAAACTAGCGATCTTGTGAGCAGCTGTATGCTTTTATTTTTTTCTGTCAGGCTGTCAGAGCGCTCCTCCTCCTCTGTCTGGTGCTGGTGTGGGGTGAAAATCCTCCACCTCAGACGTTCAGAGATGTAACTATCTGCGATACTGTAGTCACTCTCCATGTAGCATCAATTGTGCTAATGCTAGCTGTCACGTTCTCTCGTCCTGGCCACACCTCTGCTCTCTAACCCCCCCCCTCCCCTACCCACTTTGATGCATTTTTCAAATTTCGCCTTGGGGCGGAGTTATCTTTTCACAGGGGGGTAAGATACACTTTAACTCCTGACAGACAAACATAAAAGTGATGCTTCAACAAAAAGGATATTTTTTTTTTACCTCGTGAGAAGGAGGTTTTAAAATACTGAAAATAGAATTAAATTTAAGGTGTTTCACATTGTTAGTGTCAAAAAGGAATGAGCGAATGTGAATATAAACAGCCTTTTTATAATAGCCTTTTGAGTTTTTTGTTTTAAGTAATTTTCTCTTTTGTTATCCAAAACAGACGTGAAATACAAATAATTTTAAAATTTGTCCCATCCCATTTTGACACTATGAGAAAAGCTTTGTATTTACATTTTAATTTTGCATTTTAAAACAAATATCAAATAGTCACTTAATACCCGTTTATAAAAGGAAAATCCAATAACCAAAAGATACATCGACCTTCTGGTCACAACTTTATCTTCAATGCATTTTTTTCTGCCCAACCTGTCAGACAGAACAAGTCCAGGAGACAGAGTTTGGGGGTCCTCCCTTACATAAGCAGAAGAAAATCATCCACTTCTCTAATGGGGAAACTCTGGAAATTGAGGACAGTGAAGAAGAAGAGGAGGAAGATGACGGGTCCACACACACAACCCCCTTCAGTGGCCGCTCAGAGAAGGTGAGAACCAGTTTAACTAACGAGGGATATCTTTGGTGGCACTCAGATCACGTTTTCAATCCTCAGACCCAATTATTGTTCAAAAACGTGGCCATTCGACTTGGAAGGTTTTCACTGATGGGTATGTGATGTGTCAATTCCAGAAAATTCTTCTTTTTTTTAACACCAGAAGAAGTTTAATTGAAATCTATGTGTTTGTTTCCATCAACAGTTTGCGACTTTCTTGGAGAGAGACTGGCTAGTGTTCTTGGACTCAACGCAGCCAAATACCAGTACGCTATAGATCAATATAACTGTGAACACAAGGTAATCTGCTCACCAAACAACACCAAACATAACTGTCCAAAGACAAACATCCCTTTAATTCAGTTTATCGTTCCACATAGAGAATTAGTAAGATAGAATATTTCATTTATTAAAAGGCAATTTTGGCCATTTAATGAAAACGTTATGAGCAGTTAATGTCTTACGTGTTGTGTAGCTGTGGTTAGATGAATACTTTTACACCGTGCAGCCAGGGGTCACTTCCTGCAGAAATTGACCAGATTTCTGCTGAGTTCCAACCATAAAGTTATATACAACTAGAGTGTGCACTGGTCACGTTTCCTTGTTATGTTTCCACTATAGAGGGCAAATGTCTGTACTTGGTGTTTTGATAAATATTGGCTAAATAGTCCAAAGTAAGGTCTGAATGTGTAAAAAATGTAAAAATAGTAACATGTATGTGATGTAATAACTATATTATTAGAATGTATATAATCCATAGAATGCAAATAAAATGTAAAATGGCAGAAAGCTGTGTGTTACAGATGTGCCCACTGAAGAGAAACAGTAAAATGTGTCTTATTTCACAATTAAAGAGATTATTAAAAGTAATGTGTGACACAGATCCAGTTGGTTAGTTGTCTCTGAGCTGTTGTCCTCTTTAGATGCCGTCTTAGCTTCTCCTCAATGTCACAGATGCAAGTAATGGTGATAGAGAGTGCACAGTAGCTGTTTTTATTTACCGTATTTATTCATGTATAATACGATCTCATGTATAATACGACCCCTCCCCCTTTTTGAGCTTAAAAAGCATAAAAAATTTAATCCTCAAACTACCTCCAGTTTCATACAGACTTCAAGATTTTTCAGCCTTTGCAGTCTTTATACATATCAGTAAAATGATCATTGGACTGTTTATTTTATTTTAACAACATATGTACTAAAAGGTATTTTTGACAACAAATATATATCAGCTGTAGCAGCATCATATGAATTCTGGCATTTAACACATAGTCCACCAGGAGGCGCCAACACAAGTCAGAGACTTCACATGAGATTTGGGCCATCTTGTGGGGGAAAGCAGATTACTTCCTACTCGTGAGCACCCCCTCTGGTGGGGAAACGTTTTTTCAGGGATACAAACGTTTTCAGAACACCGGTAGACGGCAGCCATTACAGACAAACATGTGTTTGTTGTTGTTCGAGGAGCGGCCCGGTCACACGCTAATGTCATTAGTTTGTTGTCATTACTAAGGTGTAGGACTACTTTACCCCCCTTTTTTCACATCATGTCACCTGCTTGGATCTATTACTATCTCGCTCTGAAGCACGGAGGAGTGTCACAGGTGAGCTAGTTTCAACTGCTTTTTAAGACACGGTCTCATTTCCGGACTCAATTATTTTGTGAATGAAGGCGATATTTCAGTTAAAATACAGAAGTAAAATTATTTATTCAAGTATAGTACTACCTCCCAACTTTATGGATGATTTTATGGATTTAATTTTACGTATTATACTTGAATAAATATGGTAACTCCATGGTTMGAATCAAGTCATGCAAACTTGTAGTAGTGTAAAGATTTGTAAAACCGTGTTTGCGTGAACTGCTATGGAAGTTTGAAGATGGGAGTTGTTCCGGTATGATATCCAATCTTTTTAAACTTCAACAGAGTCCACATCTCTAGCAAGCAATCGATTCTCAATAGCCAAGGTTCCAGACCCTCTATGTAAAGCAAAGCGTAAAACAAGGGCTGGTTTTTTACCAGGTTACTGTTCCAGCTGTCTCAGTCGTTGTGTCTTTGGGCAAGGCACCTCACCTGCTTGCCTACTGATGGTGGTCAGAGAGTCCGATGGCATCCCCGCCTCTTGTCAGTGTACCCCAGTGCAGCTGTGGCTACATTGTGGCCACCATCAGTGTGTGAATGGGTGAATGATTGAAATATAAAGCACTTTGGGGTCCATCTGGACTTTATAAAGTGCATACTTTAAGCACCATCATATCAAGCAAAGTATCACAATATACTGTAGCATGAAAGTGTTCAAAACATCATTTACCGGGTTTGGCCAAAACTGTTTTAACACGTGAGATGAACTCAGTTTAAATCTTTGATATGAAAGATGAAAGGCGGTTTTATGATGGCAGCAACCTGCCTTGTACGTGTTAGACTAGCCATTAGCTCCTCATGCCTTTCAGAATTCAACTGTTTCAAATTGATCTCATTCAAAAAGTTATCTAAAATGGGTAAGATATTAATTAATTTTTTTGACATCAGTTCCTTGAATTTCCTCCTGATTCTCTTGTGAACACATGCAGGGACAGTCAGAGACCACCAACTTTTCTCCTGGACAGAATGGAAGTCAGTATGGAGCTACTGGAGACATGAGCAGCCCCTCTGAGTCCCAGGAGAGCCACAATGAGAAGCACACGGTGAGARAAGAAGGACGTCACAACAGAGGCTATCAGATAGATGAGGACAGCTGGAAATCAAATTAAAGAAAGAAAAGCCAAGGAATGTGGGAAATGTGAACTTATGCACACTGTTTGACAAAAGGAAGATGTTCACAGAAGCAAAAACAGCATGTTACAAAAATCTTTCATGAAGGAAATCAAATATTTTAAAGCYGTTCATTATTAATTAACTAGTTTTCACTGTAGACATGTTAATCTGTAATAGGACAAAAACAGAAATGTAATCGGTAACATTATAGTCTTTTTATTGCTTTAGTAAAGTTTGTCTGGAAAAGATGAATAGGTGTAACTGTTATTGCAAGTTTTAAGAGTTTTTAAGAGTTTTGGAAAAGGTTTGGCACATCGTGATGATCTACTGTTCTCATCTGTGGTACTTTGGCTCCCTCTGGTAGTGAACTGAGTTAAAGAACTTCAACATTTTGGTTTATTACATATTCAGATTATAATTTCATATTTAAGATAAATTATTAAACAGGTAATTTGAAGCACCCTGCATTTCCTAACATTTCATTGTTTTTTTTAATGTTTTCAAATGCTTTGTGCTTGTATGAGAAGAATTGATTCAAATCTAATAGTATTTTTTTTTAGTCTAAGTGAACTTTTAATTGTAAAGTGACACAACTGTGTTACTATTGTGTCATGGGATGTGCGTAATTAGTTAAAAGAACGTGATGAAACAAAGGAACATGAATGATTATTCGACAAGGATGGGATTCAAACCCACACGTGCAGAGCACAATGGATTAGCAGTCCATGGCCGTAACCACTCGGCCACCTTGTCTGGTATTATGTTATGAACGACTGTACATATGGTGTCCCAGGAACGATGAGATAAATGATAAATCATATCATTGTATAATTCATTAAATAATTAAATCTATAATTAATTGATTAAATGTGTTATTAAATTATTAAGCTTGATAATTCTGTCAGGAAATATTGCAGCGTAACTCCATCACCTACAACATCACCTGAAATGAATAAAACACTGAAACAACCTCGTATCTGAGTGATAGTAAATTATTCACACAATAATAATAATTTGCATTATTAACCTTAGATGTGTCCATTCCTGTTGTTTGTAAAATGACAGAAGCTCCCTGTCGTCTTCAGAGTCTCTCACATCCTTTTTCATTTTCCCAGATGCATGCTCTCTTAGTAGTGTTACCCAGAAAACGTTGGCAGCTTGACATGGTTCTTTAATCAGCCTCCAATCTAGATGACAATAAATAAAACAATTCAAACAGACAAACTAATTCAGTAGATTACTTACAGTTTGTCAAAGACAGTGGCGGCTGGTGGGTTTTTCTCGGGGGGGTGGGGGTTACAACTTCAAAATAGGCTCATCTTCAAAAGCAATCAAACATGTACTAAGTTGTATCACAACAGTGTATTTATTAAACAAATCCACATAATAAAACAGCATTACAATGTCATGTAGTGTTTTATTTTTTGTMCATAAATTTTGCTCTTCTGTAACTGAGAAGCAAGTTATCTTCATGACTCTGGTTAAAGTCAGGGATGTTTTAACCAGATTCTTCTCTATAGAGCATGGTCAGTGCAGTGAGATGTGAWGTTGTACCTGAGGAAAGTCTGGATTCTCTTCAGTGTTGAAGCTCCTCTCAGATTCAGCTGTGGTCAGAGGAGATGTGATGAGAATCTTCAGCAGAGTCACAGTCTCTGAAGGTGTCCTGCAGATTGTTCTCCATGAAGAGCAGCTGGTACAGAGACACAGCACCACTGCAGCTCCTGAACTAGATCAGACTTCTTGGTCCTGTTCAGCATTGGGTGAGCCTTCATGGTCTTCAGAGCTGCTTCAGAGAACCGTCTGTGATCCTGCAGGAACCTGTCTGCCTGCAGCAGTGTAGYTCTGATCAGAAGCTTGTGAATGGCTCAAGATGGTGTCACAAAYCTAAAACAATAAATTCAAATATTTAATTCAATGTGGAGATGGCTACAAGTGAGCTTTATAACATATACTGTAGTGGTCACCTAGGGGTGGAGTAAACAGTTCCACCTGTCTTTGACCTTGGTCTCAGAAGGCCTTCTTTAAAGAGACAGAACTCTGTTCAAGTTAAAGTCATAACAGGTTTTCTTAAACAGTAGACATTTTCTTCTTATTAATCAGATAACAGAATAATCTTTTATTCACAATTTTATCAATGTATAAAAAGAAAACACAAAAAGAATGTTATTTCAATGTTTTATTGTGCTTTGATGTAAATCACTGCTTAAACTTTAACTGTGAAACCACAGTAACTTGATTATAGATTTTTTTAAGTTTAAATATTTTACTTAACTAAACTTTGCATTATGGTTAAGCTTTATTATTAAACATTTTATAATTATTTTTTATCTGAATCATTATAATGAATGTTTTATATGAAATAATTCGTTTTTAAGTTTTCAGTAAATCATTCTTTGTGTTCTTTAAATTGCTCTCAGCGGAGAGCAGGTCTGAAACGGCCAGGGTCGGATTTGAAAAAAATCGGATTTGTCATGTTCAGACTGTCATAAATAAATCAGACATTTGTCACATGGGACAAAAACATTGGGCCTCATGCAAGAACATGTTCGTATTCTTATCCTAAATTTCTCTTACTTTTGTTCGTACAAAGGC